TACATAAATATAAGTGAATATCAGAATCATCTGGCTAGATGACATAATTCTATATTTAGAAGACCCCCCCAAATAAAACTGTACTAGGAAACTTCTAGAACTCAAAATGAATTTACCAGGGTAGCAGGGTATAAAATTAAAACCCATAAATCAATAGCATTTCTATACATCAGTGATGAATCAACCTAACAAAATAGGTGAAAGACCTATATAATAAAAACTACAGAACACTAAAGAAAGGAATTAAAGAAGGCCTTAGAAGATGGAAAGATCTCTGATGTTCTTGGATAGGCAGAATTAATATTGTCAAAATGGCCATACTACCAAAAGCACTACTCAGACTTATTGAAATTCCTATTAAGTTCCCAATGGTGTTCTTCATAGAAACAGAAAAGGCAGTCATGAAATTCATTTGGAAAAATATGAGGAATAGCCAAAGGAATAAGAGGATAGCCAAAGAATAAGAGGAATAGCCAAAGAACAGCCAAAGCAATCCTTAGTGAGAAAAGTGAAGCAGGAGGCATCATAATACCAGACCTTAAGTTGTACTACAGAACCATAGTAACAAAAATAGCATGGTACTGACACCAAAACAGACATGAAGATCAATGGTGTAGAATAGAAGACACAGAGACAAACCCACATAAATACACTTATCTCATACTGGACAAAGGCACCATAATTATACATTGGAGAAAAGATAGACTCTTTAACAAATGGTGCTGGGAAAACTAGAAATCCATATGTAGCAGAATGAATTGAAAAAAAGTAGTCTCAGCTCTCTATCATGTTGGCTTAAGAACCAAATTTCTCAAAAAGACTCCTAAAACACAAGAAGTAAAATCAAGAATCAACAAATGGGATGGTATTAAACTAAAAAGCTTCTTCACAGCAAAGGAAACAAAAACATGAAGAGAGAGCCTACAGAATGGGAGAATATCTTTGCCACCTGCACCTCAAATAGAACATTAATCTCCAGAACACATAAAGAACTCAAAAACTGGGGCTGGGGTTGTGGCTCAGAGGTAGAGCGCTTGCCTGGCAAGTGTGAGGCACTGGGTTTGATCCTCAGCACCACATAAATATAAAATAAAGATATTGTGTTCACCTATAACTAAAAAATAAATATTAAAAAAAGAACTCAAAAAGTGGCTACCAAAATAATAATAATAACAACAACAACCACCACCACCACCACCCAATCAATAAATGGGCAAATGAACTGAACAGGCACTTCACAGAAGAAGAAATATGACTGGTCAATAAATATACGAAAAATGTTCAACATCTCAAGCAATTAGAAATGCAAATTAAACTACAATGAGATTTCATCTCACTTCAGTAAGAATGGCAATTATCAAGAATACAGGTAACAATAAATGTTGGGCAAGGATATGGGGATAAAAGGTACACTCATACATTTCTGGTGGGACTGCAAATTGGTGCAACCACTCTGGAAAGTAGTATGGAGATTCCTCAGAAAACTTTGAATGGAACCACCATTTGACCCAGTTATCCCACTTGTTGGTATATACCCAAATAACTCATAATCAGCATACTATAATGACTCAGCCACATCAGTGTGCATGGAACCAACCTAGGTGCCCTTCAACAGATAACTGGATAAAGAAAATGAGGTACATGTACAATGGAATATTTCTTGGCCATGAAGAAGAATGAAATTATGGCATTTGCTAGTAAACGGATGGAACTAGAGACTATCATGCTAAGTGAAATAAGCGAATTCCAAAAAACCAAAGGCTGAATGTTCTTTCTGATATGCAGATGCTAACATACTATAAGCCAGAGGAAGAAAGGGAAGAATAGAAGTTCACTGGATTAGACAAAGGGGAATGAAGGGAAGTGACGGGGGATGGGAATAGGAAAAACAGTAGAATGAATGCGACATTACTTTCCTATGTTCACATATAAATACATGACCAGTGAAACTGAAGCAGACCAGGTACTCCCACCCCAAATCCATTCCCCACCATAATTGAGCTTCTCTTCGTGGCAGAAAGATTTTTACAAAGAGTGTCAACAGGATTTCATAGAAGTTCTGCAGAGAGCTCAATGTGGTTTGAAGCTTCATCTTTCTTTTAAATGCTAGTTTTGCAGACAAATGTGTAAAACCTCTGTCTAGCCTAAGAATATGGGACAAAGAGTAAGGTTCCCACCCACTATCATGTAAACATGCCACTGAGTATAAATCTAAAAGAATTTCTAGACTTTGGGTCCAGAGAGTTTTTAGGCCTCAGCTCCTCTGGACTGCTGCAGATTAATAAACCTGCTTCCTAATGGGTGTCCAGCATCTTATGTCCTACATCAAATCTATATCATTTATATCCACATGAATGGAAGTTATATTCTATGTATGTATAATATGTCAAAATACACTCTACTGTCATGTGAATCTAAAAAGAACAACAACAACAAAAAAGAATTATCTGGCCAGCTTGTTAAAACATAGCTGGGCCCCATTCCAAGAGTTTCTATTCAGTAGGACTGAAATGGGTTCTCCGAATTAGCATTTCTAACAGCTTCTCAATTGATGTTGATGCTGCTGGTCCAGTGACCATACTTTGAGAACCACTTACCAAGACAAATGATAGCTCTTCACACCACGCCTACCAATTTTCAAACACTGTACCTCTCAAAGAAGGGACCAGCTCATGAATGCCCATAATCACTTATAACCAAGCAAAATCTGGATTCCCAGGACTACCTAAAATATCTAAGATCAGTAGCTCCAAAATCAAAGAAAAAAAAGTATAATAAGGAAGGGAGAACTCTCCTTCTAGGGGCTTTTCTTCCTTTCTGCTTCTTTGTTTTATCACAAGAAATCATCTCTATTTCTCAATACAAGTGTTATGGAAAAGAAAAACACTCATTTAGATTTTTCATTCATTTTTACTTCAATAAAATTATAGTTTTTATTCCAAATTAGGTTCTCATGACCTTTTCCTCCCCTTTTTTGTTGGACTATCTCGTCTCTGAACAAATAGAATCATAGGGTTGAAGGAACATTGAGAATTCACTTAATCCCTCCTTGGCCTCAGACAAGACTGTGTCTAAACCATCCCCAAATATAGCAATTTCAGCAAAAGAAGAACAGGCACAGAGAATTCCCCATTCAACATTCTGTCACATACTTGAAGATACTAACATGCTTTCCTTCAGCCTTCTCTTCTCTTAGTTGAAAAACCTTAATTTTAAACCTTCCTTATTCAATTTCCTGAACTTTAAATTATTTGGACTCTAATTAGTTTGTCTCACTTTGCCTCAGGGCCATATGTATGCATATTGTACAAGTAGTTTTTGTTGGTAGGTGGAAAGGGGAAGGTTAATGTACAGATTGATTAAAAGGAATTTAATTGGAACAAAGAAATAATAAATGCCACTAAAATATAATGATATAATGCAGTGGCGGCACTCACTTGAACAAATAGTGAATTCATTGAGGATCATCAGCAGTGACATTAGTTGCAAATATCTTTTTATTTCATTAAGAGAAATGGTAATGCATTATAGTTTTTAAAACTCTACATTATAAACTTCCAGCCATTTCACACAAAAAAGTGGATTGGGAATTAGAGAACTTTTAAAATATGCTACAAATTATTCATAAGCTTGTTTCATGATATTTAACCCAGGAGAGAACATTATTATTATTCAGTTGGTTTTTAAATTTTTTTTCATGTGGTATAGTTGTATTTTTCTATTGAAATTAGAGTTGTAGTTGATGGATGATTTAATTCTTCTGTGTCTAAAAACACTGCTGAGGGTAGAGTTCAGTAGTAGAGTTCTTGCCTAGTCATGATCAAAGGCCCTGGGTTTGAATCCCAGCACTAAAAAAAAAAAAAAAGTAAAAATACTGAATTTGGTATATGATAACTATTTCTCTGAAAATAATTTCTCCAAATCAAGCCTTGAAAATCAGAGGTGTTTAGAGATTCAGCAAATAAAAGACAAGACAGGATAAAGTCCATGTGAGAACATGTACTTCTGCACAGATAGGGGATATATTGAATGATTTATATATTTATATCTATTTATTCTAAAATCATGATTCAAAATGTAATTTTTGCTTTTGGAGTGGTGAGGTGCTCTAGCCCGGCCTGCCCTAAGGGATAGGTTCTGTTTCCTTGCCTATTGGGATCAAGGTGTATGGTGGAGGCGATGCATTTAGTCTCCAGAGAGAAGGAAGATGCTGCTTGCACAGCACTTCTACTCACCAGTCCATGCAGCAGCAAGGGTGTTGGCTTTGAAGGAAGCCAACTGTCCTGCTCTCCCAGCCAGAGGTAAAGAATTGCATTGGTGGCCACTAGAGGGAGGAGGATTAGGAATAGAGTAAATTGTGGGGAAAAGGCACCCATGAAAAACGCACATGGGACAACCAACACATCACCAACCACTGCCTGGCAGCTACCTCTACCTCTCTAAGGGACTACTGTGAGGTCAGCATCCACCATTAACCCAGAGACCCAGACACCAGGATGACTGTAGCATCCCAGCACACAGTCCCTTAACTTGATGGCTGGAGAAGGGAGTTTTGAATAGGAAGGTGGGAAACACACAAGCATACAAACACAAGCACACAAACACACAGACATACATTCTCAGCCCCCATTACAAGAAGTTGCATCTGTGACGTCTGATTCTTACTCATTTTATTATTTAAAACTCTTGATGTTATTTACCAAGAATGTGTTCGTGAAAAGCAAACAGCCCACCTTCAAGATAGTCTTGGGAGAAGCACCAGCAGAGACACTCACTGTGCCAAGATGTATTTTACCAACAAATCTGTATAAATTGCATGAGGTTGAAAACAAATGGAATATAATATAATTAAAACAAAGTTACTCTTGCTAAATTACAGCTTGAAGTAAACCTGCAAAAAATGTTTCCAATTAGCTTCTTCAGCAAACAAAAAGCATAGCTCAAAGTATGTTTTGCTTTGCATTCTGACGACTGGGTTGACTGCCTAGTGGGTGTCTTACCTCCAGCACAAGTAGCTGAGCATTCTGACCAAGGCTGATGATTCCACGTGAAGCCAACTTCATTATCTCCACTGCCAGTGCGAGTGATGGGAACGTTGAACTTATACCTAATTCCCAAATTTTGTTCCTGGAGCAGAACCTGCCATTGAAAACAACTGGTGAAGATAATTAAAATACAATGAGCTTTCATTCAGATATTTATTATTTCTTCTGAAGAAGAAAATGTCATAAAGTAAGTCTTATGAGAAATTTAAGGCAACTCTTCAAATACATGCATTTATATAAAAATTTTTCCATTTTCATGGTTAGTTTGGAGCCATTTCTTTCTTCTGACTTGCTAGGTTATAAATATATAATTCAAGAAAGCATTGAAAAGACAAAACAGTTATATGAAAGAGCACTATGGCTTTAATTCTGCACAGATTCTATGTCCTTGGGCAAATCATTTATGTTATTTATCTTAATTTTACCACCTACCTCATAAAGGGGAATTATGAACAGTAGATATAAAAATGACATTTACCATTATAATAAGATTTTCAGAGGTGGGACCCAGAGCTTCTAAGGATTCAGGTTCATCAGTTGGTCTCTTATAGTGAAAAGCTGTCCCAGCAACATCAAACTTCCTGGGCCAGTCAATAGTCCAGGCACCATTAATATAGTAATCATCCCCTTCAGATTTTAGAGCTGGAAGAAAAATTAAAATCCATCTAAAAATGTGGAACTTCATCTACCCAAATAGCACAGATTAATTAATGCATTGAAGTACATACAGTGAATACCCATTTTCATACAGAGAGATGATGCCTGACAAGTTCAAACAGTAATTTGTCATGTGAATGTGGAGAAGATACTACTTAAGTATTTACAATATCACTGATAGAAAAGAATAAAAGGTTTATTTGGAGAAATAACATGGAACTAGCAAAGAAAATTACAACAAAAATTAACTAGAAATGGGGGTAGAGGCAGGGAACAGATTTTCCTTTCCAAACATTAAAACAGCAATTATATGATTATGAGGTAGGAACAACCTGTGATATTGGCACACAGACTGATAGGACGAGGGCACCAGAGCTAAGAAATAGATCCAAGTACACGAAAATTTAGTATATGGTAAAGAATATACTTTAAATTGGTAAAGGAAAGATAACAAGAAATGGGGCTAAGACAAAGGACTAGGTTTTTGGGGAAAAAATTGAATCTATATCTCATTCTTTATAAATAAATAAATGTCACAATTCTACTCCTAGGTAGATATCTGAAAGAATTAAAAACAGGTACTCAAATATTTGTATATATATTCATAGTAATACTATTCCCAATGGGAAAAGATGGAAACAACCCCAAATCCATCAATGAATGAAAAGATAAACAAATTATGGTGTATACAATACAACAGAGTAATACTCAGCCATGAAAAAGAATGAAGTATTGATTGATACACACTATAATGGGATGAACCTCAAAAATATTATGCTAAGTGGAAGAAGCCAGACAGAAAATAGTTACATATTGTATGTTTCCATTTACATAAAATATTCAGAATAGGTAAAAATCCAGAGACAGAAAGCACATTGGTGGTTTCCAGGCATATAGGATAGGCATATAGGATAGCGAGAATGTACATAACTGCTTAACAAACACACAGGGTTTTCTTTGGGGTGATAAAAATGTTTTGTTGTATTCTAAAGGCCATGGAATTATTCACTTTCAATGATTAATTTTATGTAATATGAATTCTACCTCAATAAAAAGAAAGCAAAAAAGAGAAATAATAAATGTCAAATGAATAAATATTTAAATGTAAATGTAGTTAAATCATAAAATGCAAGAAGAAAATATGGGAGACCTTTTATTCCTTATAACATTAGGGTATAAGAAAATTTTCTAAGCATGAAAAGAAACTCAGAAACTATAAAGGAAGGAGGCTGGGTGTGTAACTCAGAGGTAGAACACTTGCCTAGTATGCATTAGGCCCTGGGTTTCATCCCTACACACAAGGGGTGTAAAAATAAAGGAGTCTTCTTAAATAACAGAAAAGTCTGATATTACTGGTATCCTGTTTCAAGATGTGCTCTGGATATATTCTTAATTTTAAAAAGCTTTATGGGAAAGGTAATGATATTCTAAATGGAATAATAATTCATTTAGGTCTCACTAGGGGTTTCTTAGAGAGATTAAACCTGAGTGCAAGGATTAAACATCAAACAAATAGCACTTTCACTATTCTCACATTATAGCTGTATATGGACTTGCTGCCCCATATACAGCTATAAAACTCATAAAATAAATGCATCTGCTATTCTTAGACACTGGAAAGGTTGTGCACAGGCTGTGATCTCCCCAGCTTCTGCCTGGAGCCATTCTGTCAGTGTAGAATTGGAGAATCCAAGCAGGGCATGGTGGTCTCACCAAGTTACGAAGACAGAAAAGAAATTGGGAAGGTCAAGAAGACAGGAATTTGTAGGACCAGAGAAACAGAATAGAGGGAGGGAATATGTCGCTAGTCTGTATGTGTGTATGATAAAATTTCAGGATGCCAGGAAACAAACAAAAAATCAAGCAAACTACTAGGGAACTATAAGTAGAAACACTGCACTTCAACCACCAGGGCATTCAGCAGAGACCTAAGAAGAATCATGCCTTTTACATAGTAGAACTAACAAAATTATAGGTTAAGGGCTGTTTTGGATTCACCTAAACAAAGCTCAAAACTGACCTAAAAGTTACTTAACACGCTTTAAAGATATAAAACAAAATCTCAACACAGAAATACCATGAACAACATCAGATGAAAAATGACTAGCAATGCAAAAAGCAGGAAAATGTGAATGAAGCCAGGAAAAATTCTGAGCAAAAGAAACAGACTTGGAAATGGGAAAACTTATGAAATTAGGAGGAAATAATTATCAAGCAGTTATTATAAGTATATTCAATAATTTATGAGAAAAATATCAATACAATAAGAAACTAGAAGATATTATAAACACACACACACACATACACACATCAAATATAAACTCAGATCTATACAAAAGAAGAATGCCAGATGATGGTAAATATATGGATTGCTCTAAAATAATTTTTCTTAATTTTTAACTTTTTTAAAAAGATAACTGACTTTTTTTTTCTTGTGGTTCCAGGCCTCTAAGCTAAACCCCCTGTCTAATAATTGACTCTTTTAAACGAAAACAATAACAATGTATGATAGAATTTGTAACACAAGGAAAAGTGAAAAATAGCACAACAGATGAAAGGGAACAATGGAAGAAAATGTTTTAAGAGTCTTAGATTACAAACAAGATGGTGTAACATTATTTGAAGGTGTACTATGATAAAGATGCATTTTGTAAATCCTAGAGTAACCACTAATCAAATAGAACAAAGAAGTAAAGCTAATAAGCCTCAAACCATTGGTAGAGATCAAATGGAATACTAAAAAACACTTGATTAAGCTGAAAAAATATATGAAAGGAGAATAAAATAGAAAAACACCCAGAACAAATGGAAAAATAGCAAGGTTGTAGGCTTATATTCAATAATATTGATAATTACATTAAATATAAGTGACCTAAACAAGGAGTTGACAAACTATGGCTCATCGTCTGTTTTTGTATATAAAGTTTTACTGGAATGCAGTCACACCATTCATTTACATATCATCTATGTCTGCTTTCACATTGGTAGAACTGAAAGTTGTGCCAGAGACTGTATGTCCTGCAAAGCTGAATATATTTGCTATCTGGTTCTTTTTAAAAAAAAATATTTATTTTTTGACTGTAGTTGGACACAATACTTTCATTTTATTTATTTAATTTTATGTGGTGCTGAGGATCGAACCCAGGGCCTCGCACATGCTAGGCGAGCGCTCTACCATTGAGCCACAACCGCAGCCTGCTATCTGGTTCTTTACCAAAAAAATTTGACAATCCCTTCTCCTATCTAGGGATTGCTGTTAAAAAATGCTATTAGATACAGTAAGAAATAAATATCAAACTACATGCAGTCTATAAGAAACGTTTTAAATACAGAGGTGCCTAGATGTAAAAAGTGATAGAAAGAAATTTACTATGCAAACATTGATCAGAAGAGAGCTGAAGTGGCTACATTAGTATTAGAGAGAATGGGCTTTGGGACACTTAATATAAACAGGAATAAAGAGAAAAATTTAATAATGATGATAGAATGTTCAGCATATCAAGAAGATTTAACAGTCTTAAGTGTGTATGCACATACAGCAAAGTTTCAAAATAAATGAGGGAAAATCTTACAAACTAACAGGAAAAATAAACAAATCCACAATTCTTCAATAGGATTTTTTCAGTAACTGCTTAAAATATGAAGGCTGAAAATACATAAGAGTATAGAATACTCCACAAAACTGTTCAATCGATGTAAACTATCTGACTAATTTTATGGAAAACTCAGTAACACCAGAATATATAACCTTCTAAAGTGTGCTGGGACATAAAACAAAATTCAACAAGAACAAAAACACTAAAATCATACAAAGCATATTTTCTGCCTACAATAGAATTAAACTAGAGATCAATAAAAGAAAAGAATCAAGGAAACCCTTAGATATTAGAAATTAAATCATATTTTCTAAAATATGGTTCATAAAATAAATAAGAAAATATTTTAAATTGAGTGATAATGAAAATACAACATCAAAATATATGTGAAGTAGTGGTGTTTAGAGGGAAATTTAAAGTGAAAATGCTGACTTTATAGTAGAAAAAATTAAAAATCAATAATAAAAGTTTCATCTTGAGAAACTAAAAAAAATGAACTGAAAAAATAGAAATGATGAAATAAAGAGTGGAAATTAAAGTAATGGAAAATGGACAAATAACAGAGAAAAGCATTTAAACCATAAGCTTGCTCTTTGAAAACATCAATAAAATGAATAAGCCCCAATTAGAATGATCAAGAAAGATAAAGAAGACTTAAGTTATCAATAAGAGTAATGAAAAGAAGAATGATTGCTATATATCCTATAGACATAAAAAGAATAATAAGGGAATACTGTATACAACCTGATGCCAATAAATTAGAAAAATATTACAGAAACTGAATTTTTGAATTACAACTTCCCACAAAGAAAACTCCAATCCAAATGGCTTTATGTTGAATTCTATCAAAAATTAAGAAAAAATATCAATTTACCCAGATGCTTTCAGAAAATAGAGAAACACTTCTCAACTCCTTCTATAAAGCCACACTTACCATATTTATACCAACATCAACAACAACATCCCAAGACTAGAGACAAATTTCCCTCATGGATGTAGATCAAATTTTTTTAACAAAATATTAGCAAATAAATTTCAGAATATATTAGGATAATACATCACGAGAAAATAATTTTTATCCAAAAAATACTGGATTCAGCAACTGAAAATCAATCAATGCACTTTAAAAAAAATTTTTGTTAGTTATAGATGGATATAGCATTCCTTTATTTTATTTGTTTATTTGTATGTGGCGCTAAGGATTGAACCCAGTGCCTCACATGTGCTAGTCAAGCATTCTGCCAGTGAGCTACAGCCTCACCCCTGCCCTTACAACCTTATCAGAGAAAGGAGGAAAATAATAATCATATCAATATATTCAGAAAAATTAAATACCCATTCATGAATAAAATCTTGAAAAAGACCAATAAAGAGCCATAAATCTTCAAG